CGCACATTAAGAAAGACCAAGCTGAGCAGAGCCATCACCACCACCCAAAAGAAGGGATTGGACACTTGCCTCTTATGTTGCCCTCAGTTTGTATTGGGCTGATTGCATCCCTGTGGGTCCTCTTTACACACTCGTCCATCCCCTGTATTTCTTGGGAGTTGGTAATTGAAACTACAGCATCTATAGACTCAGGTTTGATTTTTTTTGCAAGGTGGAGCATGTGATTCTACCAAGAGTTACAGAAAAGTAAGACACTTCTTATTTGCTTGTTTCTTATTACCAAATGAATATTCAACCTAAGCACTAAAAATAATTACAAAGAAGAAAGAAATTCAATAGCACATGTCCTTCCAGATAGTTGGCTGTCTATATTTGTTGTATTTTTATCGTGTATTTTTTCCATAAAATGGGATCATACTACACATTTTAAAAAAAAAAACAGGACTGGAGTTCAGCCCCTGTTGGAGATGGTCTCTGCCCTGCTTCCCTGCAGTTTCCTCATCTGAAAAATGGGGCTTCCCTCGTGGACGTGTGAGAGTTCCACGAGCCAGCGTCCCATGTGCTCGGGGTCTGTGGGAGCCAGAGCAGCATCCCTCATGGAGAGCAGCGAGCGCAGGGGCAGGACAAGCTCCTGAGTTCGAGTGAGGATACCTCGTTCTATCCCGGGAGGAAGGGAGTGGCAGAAGGGCCAGTAAGCCAAGGCCGCAGAGCAGCAAAGCCAGACCAGACCCAGGGCCACTCTCCTCCCTCCCACCTAAACCAGGGCCAGGCACGCTTGCAGAGAGGAGCAGCAGATGGCCACCTCACGTGGCTGTCCCAGGCCACCCAGCCATCTCTCAGGGCGTTTGCCCACCGCTGTTGATTTCTACCCCGAGGACAACGTGCGTAGTATTTTTAGTTCCCAAGGAATGTCAATCAGCCCCCGGATACTGGGCTGCCCTGAGGTGGGGCTGCTGGTTTAAAACAAACACAGGCTGCCTATATAATGACCAGACAGCCACCAGGCACCACCTCCACCAGGAATCCCAGGTAGGCACTCCGGCCACTCTCTTGTGTGTGGGAGGGTCTGTTTATGGGTTAATTCACCTCCACTGCCGGGCATCCGCAGGCCCACCTGAACTCGGGGAGGTGGCATGACCTGGGGCAGCCTGGTTGCTCAGAGCTGGGCTTGGGAGCCACCCCAGGGCCCCCATGTCTCCTGGGACCTTGCCAGGTCAGCTTCCTCAAACATCCTCGAGAAACTTGGCACAAGGTCCTCGGGGCCTGGGATAAAGAACATGGGGAGTCCCACTGCCAAGCATTCTGCCCCCAGATGAACAGTCTTGGAAAAGAGCACCCACATCCTTCCATCGGTCCTACCTGGGGGAGGCGGGCAGAGAGGGCGCTAAGAGCCGCTCTACTCAGCAATCATGGCCCCAGGTCCAGGTCAGAGCCCTTCAGCCTGTCTGCTGGGCTCAGAGGCACAGGGAGGGAAGCGGGGGGAAAAGAGGGGATGGAATGGGGGCGCATGCTGCCCAGAGATGCTCTCTCCGCCAGGCCCATCTGTCCCCAGCCGGCCGAGGCCATGCCCTCCCCAGGGACCGTCTGCAGCCTGCTGCTCTTCAGTGTGCTCTGGGTGGACTTGGCCATGGCGGGCTCCAGCTTCCTGAGCCCCGAACACCAGAAAGTGCAGGTGAGACGTCCCCCCACGAGGCCTGCGCTCTGACTGGGGAATCTGACTGCAGCCCTGCCGTGAGCTGCGTGAGCTGGGCAGTGGCTCACCCTCTCTGCGCTTCAGCCTTCTTCTCCCAGAGCACAAAGGAGGACTCTGGGTCTGACCATGGGCCCACACCTCACTCTGCTTCTGGAAGGACAGGGAGGCTTAGGGCCCTAAGGAGAACACCTCCTCTTTCCAGCAGAGAAAGGAATCTAAGAAGCCGTCAGCCAAACCAAAGCCCCGGGCCCTGGAAGGCTGGCTTGACGCAGACGTCAGAAGTCAGGCGGAAGGCACAGGGGACGAGCTGGAAATCCAGGTGGGTCCCTCTGCAGCTTTATGCTTTCTGCAGTGGAGGGGATGGGGCGGGGGAGGCCGTGGAGAGGCGGCCATCCACAGGGACTCACTTACCAGCCACTCAAGGAACATTAAACAGCACAAAAACAGTGGACTCTGCACCACTGGGCTCTGTTGAGATGGGCTTTGCCGATCAACAGGCAAACATCTAAGCAACTTTGCTGTATTAGGATGAGCCTCAAGCAGAGGGGAGAGGGGGCACCAGCAGATGCCAGGTGATCTCAGAGGGGAGCCAGCAAACAGACACTCAGGAAGGAAGAGCTGGTCACAGACTGGAGGCGTTTCCTGCAGAAAACTTTCTGATCGACTCAGGGGCCCCTTGGACCTTACCTTACCCAATCTTACCAGGCGGCGGCCTGGACAGGTGAGCGGTGAGCCCAGCTCTCACCAAACCCCACCTGTAGACGAGGATGGGGCTCATCAGGCTTGCTTGAGCTTTGATGAGTAGTTCACGGGGTAGGGGAGCCGTTTAGAGACAAACGAAGGACTAGGAGAGAGAAAGCGTGAAGGCGTTTTATAGTTACCCCTGCCAGGCAGCCGCGGTCCGGGGAATGGTTCTGACAAGAGTTTAGGTGAGGACAGATCCCCGCACGCAGGGAAACCAGAATCCCCGGGTGGTGCCTAGTAACTACTGCTAGTAACTGCGGTCTCACTCTCCGGCTGCTTTATCCTCCTGCTTCGCACTTAACCTCTACAACCGCCTGTGAAGTCAGTGGGGCTGGTTTCTGTGCCCTCATTTAGAGATGAGGAACCGAGGCTCAGCCCAGGGAGCTCACTGGGCTGAGGGGCCGCAGCCCTGCATGGGGAAGAAGTGGGACCCACAGTCTGGGGGACTCCAGTCCCCAAGCCCTGTGTCCCCATCACCGGTCTGGCAGAGAGCGAGCAGGTGGCCCAGGAAGTCTCCTCTGCCCTGCCTTGGCCTCCCTCCACCTACCCCCAGCCTCTCCTCCCCTCAGGGGTCAAATCCCCAACCCTCGCCCTCTGACCCTCGCCAGGCGCCTCCTCCACCACGTGTGGGACCCCACCCGCCACGTTCCCACTCATCAGCCTGCAAATCCTTAGACTAAAACCAGGGAACTTTCCCGGTGAGACTGCCAGGTCCAGCGGGGCCAGAGACGCCCTAAGTTAGCCCAGGCGGGGAAGAGGTTCCAGTGGCTGATGACTCGCGGCTGGACGTTTCCAGTTTCCACAGAGCAAACGGCAGGCCCTGCCTCCGCTAGAACCAGGAGTCTGAAATGTCGGAGGTGGTGAGACGCCAGAGGCAGGTGGGAGGCCTGTGACACAGGCCGCAGAGCTCTGGCTGTGCCCACCGAACCCCTCCAGGGCCGGGGTCCCACCTCACTCATCCCAGGCCCCTACAGCCCCTCCAAAAGTTTTCCTGAAATCAATCAAGTTTCAGAGCTGGAAGCTTTCGAGGCCAAGTTCCACCCATCCCCCACTGATCACATGAGACACTAAGGCACCTTTTCAAGTTGCTCAAAGCCGCACCCCTATCCAACAGCTGCTGCACCTCCCGTCAGTTGCCCGTCGCCGGTTCCAGGGTGCAAACCAGCCCAGCAGGTCCCCAGCTTGGTGCTCGTGGTGCTGCAAAGTCGGCTGGGGTCATCCAACCACCCGCATGAGCCACAGGGGTGGAGGCGAAATGAGCATTTACTGAAGGGAGGGAACAGAGGGGCCTCAGTTCCCCCAAAATCACTCGTATCATCTCCACTTGCTCCACCTTCACGGTGGAGACAAGAGGTGGAGGTAAATTTTAAAAAGGGGACCAACAGATACCTGTTGTTTTAATAACATCTCTGAGCATCTCTGCTCATCTGTGAAATAGGATCAACAGTGGCTCCTGCCCGGAGGGAAAGGGGCTCAGTCTGGGCCTGACCAGGGCAAGAGCTGCACGCAGGGCAGGGCAGGGGCTCTGGGGCTCAAAGAGGCTCCAGGGCTGGTGGACTCAGGCCTGCAGTCTGGCCCTTGCCTCCACCTCCCTCTGTGGCCCCAGGCAAGTCGGGGCCTCAGCTCCTTCATCTGAAAAATGCGACTGACGTGTCCTGTCTGGAGGGCAAGGAGGCAGGAGGACCAAGGACCGAGGGCTCCCTTTCAGACCCAAGATCCCTGCGTCAACTCATCCAGAATCTCAGTGACCAACAGGGCCAGGCACCCAGGCAGTTACTGGATGAACGGAGCTAGATAGTCTCCGCTCCCCAGGTGAGAAACGATGATGTGGCCGAAAACAGAGCTCCTCCCTATTCACCCAAAACTGAGCTCCAGTAAATCATCTCATAGGCTGCCAAGAAAGCAGGGGAAATGGGGTGCTCTCCCTGTAGAAGGGATGAGACGGAGGCACAGAAGGAAGAACAAACTTGGCTCAGAGCATCGTTCTAGGGAAAGGTCAGCTTCCTGTCCAACTTCCCACAGAACAAGGAGAGGCCTGTGCAAATGAGAGAAAGACCACCTGGGAAGGGAGGAAGGTGGGGGGCAGAGACCATCCCCCAGGCTAGTGCTGTGTACACCAGGGAGAACCCTGCTCCCCAGATCACCCTGCCAGGGCCTGAAGCTCTACCACTGGCCATTCAACCTTATGTCTTCCTAAGCTGCAAGGAGCAGGGAACAGCTTTTATCAGTAACCTTCTCAGAGGTAAGGAAAGAGGGTACAAGGTAAGCCTCCTAAAGATGGTGCGGATGGTAAGACTAGGCCTGGGCAGGAGGGTAACCTGGCTGAGCTGTCCCCTCAGTGGTGCCTGCTGGACCCCAGGCCCCCCCTCTCTCCCTCTCCTGAGAGCCCAGGGCCTCCACTGGGATGGGGCAGGGGGGTGGGGCACGCACGGGAGGGTGTGACCTCTGACAACTCCTGGGTCCTCCTAGTTCAGCGCCCCCTTTGACGTTGGGATCAAGCTGTCAGGGGCTCAGTCCCACCAGCACGGCCAGACCCTGGGGAAGTTTCTTCAGGACGTCCTTTGGGAAGACGCCAGCGGTAAGTCCTTTCTCCAGTTTCCTCGGAGTCCCAATGTGAGTCCGCCTATGGGTGACAAAACAGAAGTTTTCTTCCCCATCCCTGCCTCTCAAAAGAGCTCCTAATTCCTCTTTCCCAAACACAGTCATCCCTCAGTACCTGCGGGGGATTGGTTCCAGGGCCCCCAGCTTTTAGAGGATGTGCCCAAATCACACGGTCCATATTCTGAGGCCAGCGCTCCCCCCATTACAACACACCACCTCCGTCACCTTGGGGAAGAAAAGCCAACTTTGACGGCACTGGCAGAATGGCGGACACAGCACTATTTTTTTGGTGGTTTTTTTTTTTGGCTGTACTGCACGGTATGCGGGATCTTAGTTCCCTAAGCAGGGATCAAACCCGTGCCCCCCGCAGTGGAAGCACGGAGTCTTAACCGCTGGACCCCCAAGGAAGTCCCAGACACAGCACTTTGACTTGACCTCTTGCTTTTCAGAAACCCCAGCCCACAAGTGACCTGAGTCCAGCCACCTCTCCGTTTTCCCACCCTCAGAAGCATTCACCTGGCTTCCAGAACGCTTCCGAGACCACCCCCAGCTCTGAGGGGTAACAGTCTAGGAGGTGAATAAATGCTCAAACTGGATGGTGAAGGTTCAAAATGTTTATTTCAGGAAAGAAGAAAATTTCACATTTCACTGAAAAACACCCCCTGCCCCATTCTTGGTCTATGGTCAAAGGGAAGAGAAAAGAAGAACATGTAGCAACGAGGTGTCAATGCTTAGAAAACCAAATTAGACCCATTTCTACAAGCAGATAAGGCTACTGGGGGAATGGAGGTGGGGGAGAGAAGGTGGACAGAAAGGGGGAAGGAGGGGCGAGACAGAGGAGAAAAAGGAGAAGACAAAGTTCCTTTAAATATCAGAGCTTCCCGATGCAAAGCTGCACAGAGAGCTTATTAACAACCAGCAAGGCCTGTGTGGACAGGAAAACTTCAGGTGACACTATCAGAGCCAATAGCCGTTGCACTGACATCCATGGGCAGAAAAGGATGCTGGGAATGTGAGAGCCTGAGTTTGAAGTTAGATTGAGTGGGCCGCTAACAATGGCTAGAGCCACTGCTGGACACGGCTGACCTAACTCCTCCTCCTTCCTCCTCGTCCACTGAAAAGACCTGGCACAGCAGACGCCACCTCACGTGGCCAAGGCTGGCCATTACCTTGGTTCCTTCACTGATTTGGAACACCAGGTTGATGTCCAAAACCACTTCCAACTCCAGCTCACAGCTGAAGTGAGCCTTGGTCCTTAAGTTCCACAACTGAATTCCAGTGAAGACCCAGTCTTCCTGGGAGGAATGTCACTTATCAGTCACTTGCTCTTTGGTATAAACACGTGAACTGACTTGAGAGCTACTGACGATGGATGCGTGATCACGAGGGGAGGAGCACCGCCCATCCCGACAGGTGCGCACCCATCGGAAACACGCAGGATGCCCCTCTGTGAAGCTGGGGTAACATCCATATTCTGGAGAAACCTCTGTCACAAAGGGCTCCCTCTAGGAGCCAAGTATCTTCTTGAGTGAAATTCTGGCCATCTGGCACTCAAGGCACAGCCCTACAGCACTAACCACTGATCACACTAAGTGGGCACCCCGAAACTCCACCACCATGCCTCACACCATGTGTGAGGAGCCACACATGGTCCACGGAATGTCACATGATCAGAGACCCTCTTAGAAATGCAGAGTCTCAGGCCCCGCCCCCGCCCTAGTAGGTCAGGATCTGCATTTTAACAAGACCCCCAGGCGCATATACAAAGTGGCTTAGAGGCCACGGGGTCCTATTCAGGCAGCAGAGCCAGGTCGGCCCACCTGGCTTAGAGCGGGTGTGGACTCTTACATAACTTAGGAAAATGCAGACTTGGCCAGGGTGCCGTCAACAAAACTGAGAGCGCATGAAAAAGCTGTCCTGTTCCCTCTTTCACTTGTCTCCCCGCCCAACTCTCTAAGCCCCAGCTCTGCTGTCAACTCCATGCCCATGCATTGGGCACACAACACACACACACACACTCTTCCATCTCTCAGGGAACCACACACCCGACTACCTGGCCGCACAGTGACGTAGCTCACCAAGCCCTTGCTTCTGAGAGCATCTGCCTCTAAGTGGTAATCACATTTTGAAAGGATTATCCCCACTAGAGGAATCTAAGGTATTGGAGAGCAGGTGAACTACTTGGGTGGAGGGAGAGAGGAAGCAGAAGTCCACCTCCATGAGCCAGCCACTCGCTCTGATGCAGAGACCCACACGCGCGCCTGGAGCTGAGGCACGTCCCAGCTCTAAAAGCTTAGTAGGGGTGCAACCCTGATCATCACTAGCCAGGCCCACCGTCCTCTTCTCAACACCCAGCGGAGGCACCGAGACTCAAACATGGTCAAAGGGCCCAAGAAACCAGCTCCCGACCTGCTGGAGAAGCAGCCAGACGGGGCTCCGGGGAGGATGGGGGCCAGGCCCTGGGGGGAATGCTGGTCACCTGATGCTCGCCCACAAAGACAAGGCCTTACTCCTTTCTCAAGGGACACACAAGCCTTCTCTCCCACTTGCCTAGGTCATTCACTCCAGAAACAGAGGTTAAGCGCCCACTCTGGTCGGGCTCTCTCACCTGCCCCAGGCAGCATGGTGGGGTGGAAAGCTGAGGCCTTAACGCTCACACCTGAATCTGAACACCAGCTGTCTGGTCCAGCCCACAACACTGAACTTCTCAGGCTCCTCCCATGTAAAACACCCACCCCACCCCAGTCACTATCAAGATTGAACACGGTATGTCCCACGAGGACACCTGCACATAGAAGATATTCAATTATCCTGATAGCCACCATTTACAGCATTCTTGCTGTGCACCAGCACTGTTCTAAATACTTCTTACATGAACTTAACGTAATTTCAGTGAATTTTCACAACAGACACACTTCAGAGGGGGAAAACTGAAGTTCAGAGGAATTTAGTGACTTCCCAAGGTTACATATCAAACACGTTTCCGACTCACCCAGAGCTGTGGGCTCAGGCCCCCACTCCCCCACGTTCGGCTGCTTCTCTACCAATGTCACCCTCTTGCCCTGCTGCTTAGGGTCCTAGGGATTCCTTCTGTTTCTGTTTTTCATTTTCTTTCATAATACACGGGGTCAACTTGGAGTGGGCTGAGGACAATTTCAAGTCAACAACCAGCAGAAATAAAAGTGATCACAGGAAACAGGCAACACACTTGAGAAAACGTAGCATTTCAAACCTGGTCCCACGTCGGCCTTCTTGGACCTGTTCCTGCACGTGTCACTTCCCAATACCACTAACTTCCGGTTCTCTGAAGCAGCTGTATATACCCCTGGGCTGAGAAAGATATTTGCTGCAGAAAAAAAAAACCCTCCTTATAAAAAACTTTATTTTATAATATACCCAGTACATTAGTATAACAGCTCATGTATTTAACTTTTGTTTAATTAATTTATTTGTTTTAATTTTTGGCTGTGTTGGGTCTTCGTTGCTGTGCGTGGGCTTTCTCTAGTTGCGGCGAGCGGGGTCTACTCTTCGTTGCTGTGCGAGGGCTTCTCATTGTCGTGGCTTCTCTTGTTGCAGAGCACGGGCTCTAGGCACACAGGCTTCAGCAGTTGTGGCACTCGGGCTCCATAGTTGTGGCTCGCAGGCTCATTAGTTGTGGAGCACGGGCTTAGTTGCTCCGTGGCATATGGTATCTTCCCAGGCCAGGGATCAAACCCATGTCCCCTGCATTGGCAGGCGGATTCTTAACCACTGTGCCACCAGGGAAGCCCGTGTTTAACATCTTACACACTTACAGAGGGGTAAGAAATTCTCTTACGACGGTGTACAGACAGAAGAATAGAGATCCATGCTTGGCTACCTTCCTTTAGTCTGAATCCACTTCCAAACATCGTCGACAAATGAGCATTTTCAGGGAGCACAGGGCTGCCTGGCCACTGACTGACAGTTCTGCTGCCATCCTGGACGCTTTATTCAAGCACCGTACACTTCAGTGGCCCTTTGCCCTGATCTTACAGAAATGCCTGAGGCAAAAATGAAAGTGTTCACGGTAAATGATTACTATTGGTCCCAAACTTAATACAGAGAGCTGTAAAACACGAGAAAAGCCAAGAGCAGATTTCCAGCCACAAAGAGACTATCACTGTGTCCAGTGGACATAGCTGCCATATGTCCAGCTGGGACAGAGCTGAGACAGTGAGTAATGTGCTGGAAATACGCAAACCAATGACTGCATCTGACATGAGGCATCAACAGGTTCCAAATTTCTTTACCATTCTTGGAACAGAGCCTCCCTTTTGACGGGTTTACTTTGGGCTTGAGCACTTACTTGTGTTCAAGGATACCTTAGGACAAAACTGGAAGACTGACTGCAAGCAGTGAAACAGAATTTCCTCCAAAGTTTACCCAGCAGCATCAGAGTTCACAGTCCAAAGCCCACAGTACAACCGAGTCATCAACAACACCCTCGTGTACTCAATTTTTCTTCCTCCTACTGCGTTGCTCTGGAACAAAGGTGTCTATGTATTTTTCACTGCTAAGAAGCAGCAGTGTATCTGGGTGTTTCCAGGCAGTAAAATGAGAGTTAATGCTCAAAGGCAGAACTTTTAAGAAGGTACCAGGGATTCTTCTTTTCAGTTGAATTTTCTTTTTAGCAAATCTTTTTTTTTTTTTTTTTTTATTTTTTTTTTGCCCCCCTGGGTCTTTGTTGCTGCGTGCAGGCTTCTCTCTAGTTGCAGCGAGAGGGGGCTACTCTTCGTTGCGGTGCACAGGCTTCTCATTGCGGTGGCTTCTCTTGTTGCAGAGCACGGGCTCTAGGTGCACGGGCTTCAGTAGTTGTGGCACACGGGCTCAGCAGTTGTGGCTTGCAGGCTCTAGAGCAAAGGCTTCAGTAGTTGTGGTGCATGGGCTTAGTTGCTCTGTGGCATGTGGGATCTTCCCAGACCAGGGTTCAAACCCGTGTCTCCTGCATTGGCAGGCGGATTCTTAACCACTGCGCCACCAGGGAAGCCCTTTCCAGTTGAATTTTGCTGAGGCACAGGTACATTTTTGAAAGTCTCCAGACCTTTGGATTCTTAGGTTACAAAGCTAGTCAACAACTAAACCATCGTTAACACTCTGAGAAATATAAACGAACATGGAGACCATGGGAGTTGGCTGAAGATCCATCACTTTATTTTCAGAAAGAGATGGTCAAAGGGAGCGAGGGGGCAGAGATACAGAGGCATTCCGGCAACACAGCAGAAACAATCAAGTCAGCCATCCAAAAACAATGCCAACCAGCTTTCACTCCCACACAGGTAATGTTTCACTGTGCAACAGAAATGATAATCCTAAATCCTGGAGATAAAAGTATATAGCACCTTGTGCTTTACTTTGGCAGGGAGACTGCAATGGCTCAGAGACATCCACTGAGTTATCACTCTTAGTCCTTGAACACAGGCCCGGTTGGTTTCCTTCGGAGGCAGTTGTGATGTACAGGCCTTGCTGTGAAAGAGATGGATAAGGGACAGTTCATTGGGTGACAACAAAGCACTGTGAAATCCTTAGTCCTCCAAATCTTCCAAGCAGGAGAACAAGGCCCCGGATTTGCCAAATCTGCGGCACAGATGACACACAGCTGATCCATGGAAGGTCGACACTGAATTAAGGCCTACTTCCCAGGCCAGCAACTTGGGTACCGGGGCAAGAGGGAAATACCACATATGAAATGCAAAGTCCATTCCCTTGCAGGTTACGAGGTTCAAAAGCACCTTCCACAAACACCTAGAGGCATCCAACATAAGCACTGGATCTTACGATTTCAGCTATTGGCCTCCAAGAAACAGACAAGGGACTCAGAGTGGCCTGTCGCACTGAGGAAGGTTGGAATAAAGGATCCTTCTGTCCCAAATGCAGAGCATCCTCACTCTTAACTCTTGACCGTCATAACCTTCCAGGGCCTGTAATGAACACACCTTTAGAAGGCACCAGCAGGGAGCAGAGCACAGCTCAGAACTTGAGATGACCTGGCTGTTCAAAGTCCAAGGAGTGGCTCTCACTTTCACCACGGAGAAAGGACGCAGCAGAGGCCAAGGCAAGGGAGAGCCCCAGGACGGGAAACGGGAGATCCATGGACACCAGGCCTCTTGTTCTGCATAGGCAATAGAACAGGGCTGGGCAGTGCCAGCAGAGCTTTGGAAAATTAAATTGGTTTACCTCTCGACCTGGATGGGGCACACAAGGGGCTGTTACATGAGATGAAACAGAAGTATTTTTGGTCCAGTGCTCCAGGAGAAGGGGGCAGAGTGGAGCACAGGGCAGTTGGAACCCCCTGACAGCAGACTAGCAGACAGCATCTGCTGCAGACTGGACCCTGTCAGTTTAACACAACTGAGCTGCAGCCCTGGGGACCTCGGTAAGTGGGATCACCTTCTTCGGGGTCGTCTTCCTCAAGCAGGCTTCCTCCTCCTCAAGTCCCCCAGTCTGTCCAGATGTTCCTCGGCCAGGACTTTCCCTGGACCATGAGCACCCCTTTGGCCCCTCCATACTGATGGCAGTGGAACCAGTGAGACCAGCAGCCAAGGTCCTTCCACCAGTGCCAACTCAGAGCTGACGCAGCAACAGTGAGAGCCAGACTGAAGAGTCACGCAGGGAAGGGAGGGGCTGCCTTCTCTGGCCGCAGGAGCATCAGCCTCTAACACAGGTCTCTGGCAAATGTCCCCCAGAGGAGATCTCCCACTGGGGGTTCGTGTTGACAGTGGAGAACCAGGAACCAAGCTACACGCCTACGTGCACTTAGCTGAGGAGCAGTGTGACTTTATTCACAGACTGCTCGCACCACAAGCTGCGGAGGCAGGCACTGGGCGGGCAAGCTCGCTGTGCCCTCACATCAGCCTCCTCTTCTTCCCAGGCTGCCCTGGAGCACTGCAGCCGGGAGGCCAGCCCGAACCCCTCGCCAGCCCCCCGCACGCCGGCCCCACCCCCAACCAGCCTGAAGCGGAAGCCTCCGACGAGGTCTCAGGAAACGTCCTGTCCGGGTGTCCTCCATCCCAGCGGGCTCTCAAACATCCTCGAGCAGGGACACACAGGCAGAGCTCACACGGCCTTTCTCCTGTCAGGCCGCTGGTCATCCTGGAGGGTGGGGAAGAGAAAAGGATGAAGGTTACACCTGAGTTCACTCAAGACAGACCAGGTTCACTGCTCACCCTATGTCTACATGCTCTACGTTTAAAAAATATAGCCAAAGTCATTTTTGTCCTGGTTTTTAAAAACTATGTAATGTGATTTTTATCACCTTTTCTGGGAGACTCCTGACTGCACCCTCTCTGCTTAAAGACTGTAGAGGCGGCAGGTGTTCTCACGCAGGGTGGCCAAGGTGCGGGCGAGTGGCAGGTCTTTGACCCTGGCAATCTCTCGAACCGTGTGCAAGGCCAGGCCTGGGTGGGCGTACTGGCAAAGGCTCTTGGGAACCTGGAAGACACCAAGCATTCTGGATATCGTTGTGCCTTCTGTGCAGAGTTGTCACGCACAACTCCCTCCCCGGCCCTTCCCCAGCAGGGCCTCTTTGGAGCTGTGTAGAGACCCCTTTACCTGCAGGTGCAGGGAGAGTCCCAGTCAGGGGGGCTCTGGGTGAGCAGGGTCCCATGCTTCCTTGGACTACCCTCTACAGGGTAGGGCTTTGCACTGCCTGGAAGAGAGTGGTTACCCTTCAGCTTCTCAGCCCCCTAGACTTTGGTTCTGCAAAGCAACAGAGAGGAGACATCTACACAGCCAAGGGTGGGACCTAGAAAGGTACTGTGGCTCTGTTCCTGCCAACCTTGCAAGGGGGACTGCACACCTCCCACCCTCTCTCCTCAGTGCCTCAACTCGGCTTGAAGACACCCTTACCTGTCGAGGCAGGAAATAGGGAGCATCAGTTTCCACAATGATCCTCTCCAGCGGGATCTGTTTCAGAGAGTCCCGGGCCTCCCAGGCAGAGGAGTATGTCAGGACCGCTGTGAAGCCCACGGACATGTTGGGAAAGTACTTCAACAGGGGCTCAATGACTGGGTAGCTGCCAGTGAAGCAATGCCTGCAAGGAAGAGAATTCCAGATCAGGGCTCTCATAATCCCCTCTGCAGAAGCTCCCAACTCCCCCTGGACATTTCACCTTTTAGTTATTTTTGGTGGGTAAGTTCTCAGAAATGCAAAGACTGCATCCAAGGGAAGGACTCACAGCCAACACAGTCAGGAGCAGAATTAAAAACTGCAGCCCATCTGGATCACAACTACAGTAGGTAAAAACTACGTCCATGTAATCAAATGAACCAGAAGGAAACAAAAACTAAAAACACTGGGGAGTGGCCTACAGGTGAATTTTCTTCTCTTAACCTTGTGTCTGTTCATGTTCTTAGTACAGCACACGTTAGTCCAGAAGGGCTGGGTGACTGTGCCTCATCTCGTCTCTGGTGGCGGCTCCACTCAGAAGCATCACTCTCTCTGCCTGGGCGCCTGGAAGGCAATGCTCTAGAGGCCTAACAACCTCACCCCTTCGGCCACCTGGC